TTCTTTAATAAACACACATATTTTATCTTATATCTTATCTTATTTTCTTCTTGCTCTATTGAGAGAGTATTTTATTAGAAGTAAATTCACGTATATTATCTTATTGAGAAGATAATCATATTTTTATTATAAATAAAACATGTATAAATTATCTTATTGAAAAGATAATTATATTTTGTTAGAAATAAATCTTATACACATCACCTTATTGAAAGAATAATCAGTCATATAATCTCTTGAAGTTATAAAAGTTAATAACTATCATGAACATAATTATTATTACTATTTTAAAATAATTATATACGTATAATCTTAAAATAGTAACAATATAAACTCAGAAATATAGATAAAAAAGTCTTGAAAAATCTCTATAATAATAACTACTTAAAGTTATATATCAAGTTTAATAATCTAAAATTAATTATTATAATTAATAATAATTAAAGATTTATAAAGTAAATTTCTTAAAATTGAGAATTCTATAATTAATTAGCTATTTAAATAATATAATAAAATAATATAGCTATAATATATAATATAATTATTAATTATTTTCAAATCAAATACATAAGAAATTATTATTAATCAATTTAATTTATTATTAATTTTATTTTTAATTATAATTTCTTTAATATTTTATTAATTTTAATTTTTAATTATTTTATATTTAATTTAGAAATATTTTTTATAATAATTCTTCTAAAATCTTATTTATTCTTAAGTAAATTAGATGAAATATTATGTTAAAAATAATTTATAATTAGCATAGCAAGAAAATATTATATATAAAAAGTTAAGAAATGATCAAGAAGAATAATTAAGTTTGATAAAAGTAGTTGATTATTAAATTAAGAGTAATTAATTAGTATTTTCTTATAATAAACACATATATTTATTATATATCTTATTTTTATTTTCTTCTTACTTTATTAAAATTTATATAAATTATTTTATTAAGAAGATAATTAATTATCTTAAAGTTTTTTAAAATTTAAAAGTAAATAATTATGATAAATATAATTATTATTATTATTTTAAAATATTTATATATATATAAACTTAAAATAATAATAATATAATAAATTATAAAAATTAAATTTAATTCATTTCTTTTTTTTATAAATATTTTTAATAATTTAAATAAATAAATAAATAAAAAATTATTTATTATTTTTATAATATTTTGAATTAATAATAAATATAATAAATTATTTATTATAATAATAAAATATTTAAAAATAATTCTTTTTAACTAATATTTTGAAATTTATATTTAAAAATTTAGAATTGAATTACTTTGAAAAGTGCTAAAAGAATTATAAAACAAATAATAAACTGGTTAGTGTTTAGATCAACCAATAAGAAAGCAAATTTTTAAGTAGTAATCTGACCAATCAAATATGATGATTTGGTTATAGCCAATAGAATCGTAAGATTCTGTATCAGGTGAACACAAATTTCAAATAAAAATTTCAAAACAAAACAAAACAAAAACAAAATGCTTTTTGTTTTTTGATACATCTTCCTATAATAACCCTAATTCTAATCTAAGAACAAACACAAGGATATTTATATAAATTACAACAAGAGATTTAATATTTTTTAAAATCGTCCTTTTAAATTTTCATTTTTAATTTGTCGCTGTTTGGTATAGGCTCAAATTGCCTGAACATTCGCACAAAAACAGTCAAATCATGAAAAATTGCGATGCAAATTTCCTATGCTAACTGCATTGCAAGCCAAAGAGAGATTAATTAAAGAAATTGGTCTTTAATATTGGGTTAAAGATTCGCGTGAATTCCGCGAATAATAAAAAAAGAAAATCATCAACGTCCTTATTCATATGAAGTTGTTATAAATAAGATTGTAACAGATTGTTACTTATTCGATAGATTTAAAGATTAATAATTGGAATTACGACTATTTTATTTTCTTTTATAAGGTAAAATGATAATTCGCCATGCAAAATTTCCTTATATATCCACACACTCCTTTTATTAATTAACTTTGTCTAGGGATGTAACCAGCTTGGTTAATGAAACCTACAAGAGTTAAAGAAATGTGCAAAGAATTTGTATCAAATTTTTCTAGCCGTAATTATTTTAATAGATCTCCAGAAAAGTTAATTCATGATGGATCATGGAAGGAGACTGAAGAAATTGCAGGTGTCGTAAAGGAAATTTTTAGTGCTCTTGAGGATATTTGGAATAATCCAGCTTTTGATCCTGATGTATCGAAGTTATTAAATGAGGGAACTTACCAGTATACTGTTATTGTCGAGCAGTATTGAAAAATCTTCATTTATCAGTACCTCTGAAAGACAGAGCATCGCTAGTGCAGATAGGAAAGGAGATAGACAGGGGAGACAGCCAGATATCACGTTTGTGAAGAAATATTGAACGTGTTCTTCAAACTTATGTATGTCGAATGTTCACGATTATTTTGTACATGACAAATTATGGTACTTATATTTTATTTTTATATGTTTCACGGGAATTCCAATAATAATTCAATGTAAAAATTATACTTTAAAATTGGTCCTAGAGAAATCCGTGAATTGATCAAAACGCTATAATGAAAGCAACAGAAAGCATTAACCACGAAGAGATGATGGTGGTATTGATATAGAAGGGGAAGTTACAAGAACTCCTTGTCATCCAATGTAAAGATTGGGATGATAGAGTTGGTGTTGGTATTGTTCGTGAACTAGAAGGTAATACTTATTTGGTTACTTTTTTCAGGTTACTTTTTCAAAATATAATAATTGTTTATATTTTAGGAGTTTTATCACGATATTCTAAAGATAACATTATTCGGAGAGTATATCGATTATATTGATATGCATTATTCTGGTTACTTTGGATGCGCGATCTCAATTTCTCTATTTTATCTAGCTTCAATTCAATAATTGCTCTTCGGGCTGGTCTTTCTCGCACCTCGATTCCTATTGTTGGCTACCAGTGTCTGGAAGACATTTTATTCACTGTCCATCGGCACTCCATCCAGTAACGCATTGACACTGGAACAATTAGGGTAATTGTAACTCCCAGAATAGACGTAATTAATTTTATTCAATGATTTGCATCTCGAATAAATGATAAATATGTGTTTAATAAATAAAGTATGCCAATATTTCACTTAAATTAATATTCTTGATTAGTATTGAATTATCTATATTGTATGTCTAGTCTATATGCGAACAAAATTACCATTGGTTGATCAAGATATTTGTTCTAAATACCATGAACCATTTGCTAATTTTGGCATATCCCATTCACGCACAATCTTCGTCTTTTTATCATGATGATCCTCATCCGATGCCTGATTGTCTTTTTTATAACGTTTACGACGCGATTGTTTTGACTTCTTCCCAGATTCGAAGGAATTTGTTGAATAATCACTATCATCGTCTGAATCATATGAATCTGAAGATTCTTGTGTTTTGCGTTTTCGTTTAGATTTACCACCGCTATGTTCTGATTTATGAGATTTCTTTTGATTATGCTTTGATGATTTTTCTTTTTTGTGATGACGATGATGCTTTTTCTTGTGTTTATTTTTTTTCTTTGATTTTTTGGTTTTATCATTAGCATCATCTTTATCGTCAATACCGCCTTTTTGCAAAGATCCCTCAAATTGTGCATAATTTATAAACCACCCATTGTTCCCAAGAAAAGGTTCTATATCATGCATCGGATCATAATCTTTGCGGAAATATTTATCCATTTTTGATCCGTCGCTTGTTTCTCCACGGCCTTTGAAAATTACTTTAGGTGAGGTATCTTTGTAAATTGTTGATGTTGTTGACTCTGCAATTTTAGCGGCTTGCTGTTTATCGCTGCTCTCATTAGAATGATATTTGTGAGAGTTTGATGAAGATGATACAGTTAAATTATTATTGTTATACAGAGTAGTATATGATGATGATGAGGAAGAAGATATAGATGAAGATTTTGCTTCATGTTCTTTTCTTTTCTCTTGGAAAGATTCGATGGAACTCGAACGTGAAAGACTTTCAAGAGAATGATTTCGTTTACTTGATCGTTTTCGAGGAAGAATATGGTGTTCTTGTTCACTAAAAAATATAATTTAATTAGGTTATGTATGATCTTCACTATTCAAATGATATGCATTCTATTATTCCTACAATCATTTTACCTTGAAGATTTATCGCTATGGTGGTAATGACGATGATGACGATGATAATCATCTTTATTGATGTAGTATTCATCATCATCGCGGTAACCACGCAAACTACGCAATGAATCTCTTGCACTTCTTTTATGATGACGCGACTTTTTCCTTTTAGATTCATCAAAAGATCCACCATCTTCACGTTCGCTCCTGCTGCTACTGCTGCTGTTGCTGCTGCTGTTGCTGCTGCTGCTGCTGCTGCTGCTATATTGATCACTTTCGTCTAAATTCTTAATGTTTTTTCTATGGCGAAAGCGCTCTGGTCTTCTTCTTTGGCGATTTGATACCTCCTTTTCTTTACTTACCCTTAAACGATTTACCCACGAGGTATACTTTTTTGCAGCTTCTTCCTCCTCTTTTCTGATGAGTGCTTGATTGTGATCATCAGTACTTTTCACAATGTTAAACAAAAAACGTTTATTTGGTTTTGGTAAATTAGAAGGCGGTCTACATGAATATTTTAATCATTTAAGTTAGTTAATCTGACGTTATAAAGTATAAATTAATTAAGCCTAAAGAGAGCTAAAAACTTACGCCCCAGTGTTTGGCAAATAAGCACGGATACCTTCTTTGTTAAACAACTTATTTTTCGCAGCTGCTTCTTTCATAATAAGATCGGCAACATATTTGTCCAAGTCCTCGTCTGGTAACGAGGGGGGCACACCACCGATTGAAGCGCGAACTAATTGGTTGACGGCAACGTCAAGCGCAGATTTCGGTTTCGGAGGTTGCGAGTTTTGAGAAGACATATATAAGCATTTGACAATGATCATACAATAATCACACAATAAAAGTGATAAGCACAAAAATCGATCGATTTATCCCGGTTCTTTGAATACCGGGATGACAAATCCTACCATAATAATAATTTATTTTTGCAAACAGACCAAGTCCACGAAATAAACTTTATTAATATCCAACGTAATGAATTAATGAATGATATGTATTTATTCTATATTAATTATGTCTAAAAAATTTCATACCCATCCAATTCCAAAATACGGCATAAACAGTAACTGACAAAGTAATTGGCAAAAGCAAGCAATAATACTCATCTCTCTTTATCCAATCAAGCGTCTACAAGAAGACATAGTAATGCGAGTAATTTAATTTAAAATCTAATCTGTAATAGAATGAAATGACGAGTATAACGAGCACGAGAACACCTACTCTATTCCCAGTTTCCGGCACAAACTTGCTAAATACAATAGCGTACATACTTGATATAAACATTACAAAAGTGGCGAGTAAAAGCATCCATCCCCATAAAGCGGTGGTATCCGGTTCCAACTGAGACAAATGTGTAGTCATTTGTGTATAGTTGGGCGTGTTGGGCCGTTCTATAAGTGGCATATGAGGAGACTCTGTGGGAGAAAGTGAAATTAGTCGTTCATTTTCGGTTTGAATCTCATCCTCAAATATAGAAAATGAGGGAGCAGAGAGAAAAGGAGGTGCATCGATGTTGTTATCTTTTATGAAATGTGGCGGCGAGGAGTTGTGCCTATATGGATATAAATCATTATGACGAGTTTTGTTTTGAAAATTTAATAAGAGTGGAGGAGACAACGAATGCACACTTGAAGGAACGTGCGTGGAAGCGCTTTCAGTTTCGGTTTCATTTTCTTCCATAGTCAATGGTAATATTTGTAATAATAATTAATAAATTGAAACTGCGAAACTTATGAAAAGACGGACGACGCGTTGGACAAAGGTTTTAGAATTCTACGCATATAAATTCTATTCCGACCAATCAAAATCATGTCATTAGAATCATATTTTACATGATTCCGATTCATACAATCTTTTTGCATTCATTTCAAAATGTCCTCGACCCGCCAAATTCCCAAATCAGGAACGGATAGAAAAGGCAAAAAGACGTTGCGCCTAGAAAAAGCGCAACAAGAAAAGGAACAGGTTGGCGCATTTGTACTCTTTTTCAATACGCATTTTAACTTTACATTTTTGAATTAAATGCTAACATGCTAAGATTTCATTTAAAAGGGTAATGAATCCTTCAAAAGAGCTGATTATTCTAAAGCTGTAGAGTACTATGGGAAAGCCATGGAATTGGATCCAAAAGAGGCCGTATACGTGATAAATCGTGCTATGGCCTATCTGAGAATGAAAGAGTGAGTTCTTTGTTAGATTTTAAAACTCTTCTGTTCTTTTTACATTTCACAGTCGCTTATAAGTTTCATACGAAACATAGATGGGTTAAAGCTGAAAATGACTGCACAGCAGGTTTGCATCTTCATCCGTATAATGTGAAAGCTCTTTGGAGACGAGGCATTGCCAGACGAGAACAAAATAAACTAAAAGAGGCCAAAGAAGGTAAAGATCGTCGAACTATAACATAATTAACTACTCCATCTCACTATCAAACATAATAATGTTGTCATCACAAAAAAGATTTAGACCACGCTTTAGAGTTAGATCCGGACAATCGAGCGGTAAAAATTGAATTGGAGAAAGTTTTGAATGCTTTAGCAATACAAACGGTAGGGATTTGTTCGGATAATATTATTTGATGTTGTTCCTTTTGGTTATGATGGTGAAATTCTGTTACAATTTTTAGAATGTCTTGATTTAGGTGGAAGAGTCTAAATCTCAGATTATACAACAATCCATCGATGTTTCCCGTGTTGAATCAAATGACGCGGGAAAAATTCCACGTCGGCGATTAGATATTGTTGAAGTAGATTTCGATGAAAATCATCTTGATACTATATCACGAGAAATCGGTGGCAATAAAGCTAATAATGAATCATTAAGGAAACAGTCCGAAGTTGAATCAAAGACTCCTTTAGAAAATGGTCTCTTTGACAAATTTGTCGAGGTAAATATTAAGATACTTTCTTTATTCTATAGATATTAATAATATTGATACATTAATATTACGCTTTCAATCTTTTTAACCATTTTTATATTGAAATAATTTCTTAGATGCCAGACGACATCACAATTAATTCATCGAACATCTCTTTAACAGATCAGAAAATCCCAACAGCAGCAGTAGCAATAGATCACCAACAACTGATAAATGAACCTGAGAATTTATTAGAAAATATCAAAACGCCACGTACAGCTATAGAATTCGAACAAGAATGGAGAAAATATTCGAAAAGTGACGAGTATTGTTATGCTTTTTTAAAGGTATACAATTAGTTGTAAGCGCATAAAATTTAATCCACATCTGTTAATTCATACCAACATTTCTTATAGGCAATCCCACCATCCTCCTTTCCAGACATGTTTTCAGAATTTTTTGAGGCTGATTACCTATCACGCATTATCATTATTATGAGGGACATATATTTGGTGTACGTGTTTAGAATAACGAAAAAGATGGAATTTTTTCGCTTTTGAATTCGTCAATAATCCTGTATCTTTATTAAATTGCTATTGCGTTGTAGACGTGATACTATTGATCTCGTGTACGACACTTTATATAATTTAAGTCGAGTCGGTCGATTCCAAATGGTCTTGCTATTTTTAGAGAAAGAAAATCGAGCAGGCAAGTGTTTAATAATAATCTCACATAACTTACACTCTTTATTATAGTAGTTATAATTATACTTTTGTTCGACAGCGCTGTCCGAGTTATTCCAGAAGATGGTATCCAAATTGAATGAGACAACGCAAAAAGTCACACGCGAAAAAATAGCAGAGCTTGCTGAAACATATCATGTCGACGATTGGCAACAGTAACAAAGAAACAATAATGGTAATGATAACTTAAGCTGCACATATACACATGAATTGTATTATTCATTAAGGGGATGTATGTTAATCTAAAATTTGTACAAAAAAGAAAGGATCTGTGTAGTTTTTAATTTACAAGAAAACGTGGAGAATCAAATAGAAAAGCTATGATAGAGCTGAATATTCAATGTTAACATATTATCATATGAACTCGCGAGTAAGAGTTAGCAACTATTAAATAGTGCGATAATAATATGAAAACATACACAAACAAAAATGACACCCGAACAATCTTCCAAAAAGCAATATATAACTATGTTACATAAACTATATATAATTAATAGCATAAAAGCATATCTGCCTGCTATTACGCATTGAGCGAAATGAAGAGCCTGAAGCTGTCATCGTAAGAGAGAGGGGGGAGAGTTTATCATCACCTAATATTTTTGTGTTTATAGTAATTATTACCGTGCTTTATAGTAGCCGATTCAAACAGACATGAATCCTCGTCGAGGACGCAATCGTTGTTTCTCTCGAATCATTTCCAGGACGTGGGCCATTCCCATGCGACTCTTAATGTCATATCAAAAATTACGAATATTAAAAACGCGTAATTGCAATGTAATCTATACATAAATTGCATGCTTACACACTATAAAATTAGAATACACACCTTAACCGTGTTATCCGTGAATTTTTTAAGCCCGAATCCTTCAATGCGTTCCGACAGCCATCCAAATTTGCTGATAATTCTTGCTTCTGTTTTGACTTTTGTGCACTCATTGTTATGTGAGTCAACTCGGAACGTTTGCCACTCCTCCACTTGCATCTTACGAACGTGTGTGATATTCTTTGTGCGTGTCACCATCGTTTTGGTGTGAGGGTCGACGATAGATTCTTCGAGTATATAAGCCTCTGGCGTTCTGATTAACTGTTAGAAAAAATACGAGTGCATACATATATAGATAGAATAATGATTTTTTCATTAAATCTGTTATTTTTTATATATATAAATAGTAACATTATAATAAACAAATTAAAATGACGAGACTTCGAACTGATCACAACTCTATTATAGTCAAGTGCGCTTTTTTCCGAATGGACCAAAAAAATACAATAACAAATAAAAATTCCTATTCTCTTCATTCGCCTGCATATTAATAAACACTTACCCCTATCCCCCAACTTGGAACTTTGCCTTTTTTCAAAATTAGTCGCGTAGTTCGCAGCATACCAGAAGTAGGATCCACGTGGCGATCAATTACATCAACACTCAGTACATGCGACGCAAACGGGTTTGGATAACGCATCCAAAATGCCAACGTCACAATGTCCCAAGGGGCACTATTAAATAATTAAGAAAGTTATTAATACCTTTCCGGTTAAACCAAAATGTATGCTTAAAAAGATAAGATGGGAGCCAATTCGATTGAAGATATGATTATAAAATTATAAATGTTCATATGGAGGGTCATCGAACGAATTTACCAAACCAACGAATTCTCGTTCAATATCTTTCTGAATTCGTCCACTTTACACAAAAAAAATACTCACTCATATATTCCTGTATGTTGATAGAACTTTACCATGTCGAGCTATTAAAAATGTATATTGATACAACTAAATTTCTCAGCCTCCTTAAGTAAACTTTGTTAAAAGCGAATAATTTACACTATTTACACTTGAAAGAAGATAAAAGCCAAGAAAATAACAATATAGCAACGACAAAGATTTTATACGACCACCAACAAATAAAAAGGTTGTTTTTTTCAACACTTTATTTTTTTTGTAAGAACTAACTTTTAGATTAGTAAATAAAATACTACTTATTTGTAGGGTGTATTTTTTATTTATCGTTATTACGTGATATTGTTAATTACAAAAAATATGTGAAAAATTCGTGATATTGACTATATTGACTACCTAATATAGAAAATTGATTATCCTTACTATAGACTATAGATACCTTTCCAAAATTGAACAGTATCGTGATGTGTCGTGGTTTCATACTATGCAATAGCTTATCTTTTATTATCTTTATCATCCGTATTACCTTGCCATTGATGATAATGTAAATCTAAATCTTATCGTAAATGATAGCGGAACAAATAACAATACAGCCGAATTTTTGTGTTACTATTATTTTACTGTGCTACTGTGTTTTTTTGACGGAGATCCTAAATTCCATTCTCGAATAAATGATACTCAATAAAAACCCTGTAAAAAAAAAGCCTGATACTACAAAAGGTTTTCGGAGTAATTCCAGAGTATCATACGTATACGAAATCTGGAGCTTTTCAAAGTGTTCATCTACTACATTGTTCTTCTCCAATACCACCAAATATCGACCTGTCGTGTCGAGATTCGTTTTGAATACGCCATGTGTTAATGTGTCTAAGCTAAATGGGATATCAACTTTTACATTTCTAAATATATATATAGAGGCGATTAATATAGGTTCTGTACAATTCTTTGTGTTTGCTGACTAAAATGAGAAGAACCACTTACTTTGCACCCTCAGGTAACATTACGCGAACTTGTACTTTATCATAGACTGTTTGAGTAAATGCGCTGAGAAACGGCACATTCAATATGTATCGACCACTTTTTGAGTGATATCGAACGAAATCGCTTAATGGAACATTGTACCCATGATTCCAGGTGTAATTCCATCCGCCATATAACGGATAACGCGGCTTAAAGTCAAATACAGATCTATCACGCTCATTTCTAAATGTGGACGTCGAAACATTTCCAACTTCGTCCCGATAATACACATCGGATGCCCGTGGAGGCAATAATAATTGAAGATCGCGTGTCATAATGGTATCATGGTGTCCATACATAGTTGTTTGTTGATACTCCAAACGAGAAAACTGTCCTTTAAGTCTGTATTTAATCGACCAGATGACAAATGAAAATTAATAACTTAATTGCTTTAAATGACAATGAATGGGTACACTTACCTGGCCCCATCGTGTGTCAAATTAAAGTGTTCCTCGATAGCTAAATTCCCGCCCCAATGACTAACTTCCAGATCACGCCTAAAACTTTTCACCGTAAAAATAGGTTTTTGGAATCCGTAATGGATCTTGAGTTCGTCGTATGCATCAGGTGCAATATTATTGTAAGTCCCGTATGTTATTGTTTTGTCATTACGATTAACCTTATTTTCTCTTTGCGTATAACTCAACAAAGTGCTAGATGCGAGTCTAAATCCATCACAATCGTCATCGGTTAACGGTAATCACTGCAAACTTAATAAATAAAATTCATAGCGAGTGACTTTACTCACTTGACATTGGTCTTTTGCTTTTCTGATAGGTATGCACTACTAGCATATTGATTTCCCTCGTATAACAAATATTGACGTCCAGTTTGTGGTATTTCGTGCGGCACGGTAGTTAAAATATGTGTGAAAGCGGTTTTGATTATAACTGTGATTTTCTCTTGAGGCTCGACACGACGATCAAATGTAATTTTATAGTACTGGATATGGCTGACCAAATTTTTGATTTAATAATAACAAACTAATATTGATATGATTGTCCTCATGAATTCACCTACTTTATCGAATCAAACTCCGCTTTCTCTACGTCGAATACTACATCGGTTTTCCGCTCTTTCGCTTCAATCCATGCTAAATGTTTATCCAACTTTTCTTTAACAGGAAAATAATACTCGCCAATTAAATCATCGTGAACATTTTGTGCAATTATTACGGTAGTTTCTCGCACGATGGGTGACGTCAAATCTATGGTGCGCAAAATATTACTGTTCCGCCAGTATTGAGGGACATTAACCGGTGTAGAGGTAGCCGAGGAAGAAAAGACTGCAGCGCAAACAATAAGCACTATGGTGCACGTTAAAGAATATATCGAAAAAAGTCGCATCTGTGTCAAGTAAATGCAAAGAAATCGCGACCTAAAAGATGGGCTCACTCTAAGTCTGACTTTTTTACGCGGAGTTACATTATTGGTGGAAGCTACATTCAACATCGATGTACGATTTTCATGCACGCGTCGATTTCATCCAATAAGATCAACCAGGAAACGCGGATAAATTACACTCAAACTTCAACCCTAAGAATATATCTTCAATGTCAGGTTCTCGCACTATAGGTCAAGAAGTACCCAGGTAGGAATTCCTTTTACAAGAAGCGAGAATTACATTCACAAAGGAACATTTGGCGAGAGTTTATGTTATAATTCTAGCACTTCTTCCAAAGGCATGTAGTGGTTAAACTTTTCCTACACACCTCGCTCATGGTAATCCTACCAATAGCCACATATTTTCTCTCGTCATTCTATTATTTTCAAGGTTGGTTTGACCACATTTTTCTTTAAGATTTACTTTCTAAACCACTCGAATTAATGATTTATTTTGATTAGGCGAAAATAATACAACAAAAGCTGCTATTGCTGCTGTCTTAGTTGCGAATCTAGTTGTTGCATCTTTTGTTGTGACTGCTTTCAGGGAGGATAAAGTGGAGCCATCGCGTTTAAAGAAAGAATGAAGTACACACACAAATACTTTGCGTAATTTTAGTATTTTTACTTTATTACATTTATCTGATGGGATGGATAATTTTTAAAATATGTATAATCAATTATTGTGAATATTATGTATGAATTATCTTAAAAGAACCATTAAAATAAACAACTGCTTTTAATCTATTCATCATTCTCGTCATCCATGCCATCAAAGAAACTGTACACCCAATACTCGTGTGGATTTGCTTGTGTATCGATCCAACATAGACCATCCGCAAGCAAGTTATCCTAATTTTTAGAAAGCGCATTAGAAAAAGATTAACTGGGAAAAGAATCATTAGAAAATTTTAGCTTACGATCGCATTATCTATACGCTCTGTAGACCAGCCACCAAGTGAAGACGCCACGATTTCTTTTGTTATATATCCTCTTTCCTTTTGAAAGGACGAAACATAAAAATTCATTGAATAATTATCAATTGATTAAAATAAAATGATTATAAATTTACCTACCTGAGCTAATGTTAACAGCGACGATTGGTCAATGTTCAATTCACGAGGCACAGATCTCACCATTTTTCTATTCCCGATTTGCAGGATCTCGAATCCATTTCCCAATGGTTTCAAAGTTTTTATTGAACGTATAATATCATCTCTATAATATCCTCAAGATTTAAACCATGATTAGCCGCCAAACATAAATAAACATTTAACATGATCGAGATGATGATTAAATTTACAGCTTACTCGCTTATTTCCTGTATTGATGCCGAACTTCCACTAGCATTACGCATCTTTTCAAGTCTCCTTTTTAATTCTCCTAATTCTAATAGTCCGCCATTGCCTACTCTAGTAGATAAACACACATCTATGATCTGTATACCTAGCTCATAATAAAAATTACCAACACCCAAGAGTTCGGCCCAAAATCCTTTATTTGCTGAGGAATTTAATAGAAACATCCATTTTCTATTAATCCTTTAACAATATCGTAAAAGTGGTGATAACAATAATCAACTAACATGCTAATGGATCCACATTAATGTTGCTACACATTTTCTGAAAGTGCATTCGAAATTGTGGGTCCTTTCGTATATCTTTAAGATATTTACGCGCAAATTCTTGAAGATTTGTTTTGAATATTTCTCGCTGAATTTTAAACTAAATTGAAAATATCCAGAAAGAAAAACTATCAGAAGATTGATTCTTGAAAAATAAAGTTATACGAAATACAAAAACTCGTGTTTTTAACCTGTTCTGCTTGTGACTTAGCCAAATCATTGCTGAATTCATTATATTTCTTTTGTAAGTGAATTAATTAGCGAGGTGTTATTCAGATGCTTATGATTTAAGCTTGATAAAATTTTTTGAACAAGCACTTACAACAGCTTCTCCTTGACGTTTTCTTAATTCAAGTGCTCCAAGACCGCGACGTCTCATTTTAACTATAATTTATGATCAAATTAATTATGCTTCCTAGAAAATGTTCTGCACACGTGATTTTTTAAGGGTGAACCAATCAAATCACATATAGGGTGCAATCACGTGAGCAAATTCGATTACTTTTTCGTTACACGTTAATCTTGCGATTTGATTGGTTTACCTCTTATATAAAAGCTTGATTCGAGTTCCGTGTAACAATCGGAGAATTTTATTATATAATCTATCAGAATTAAAAAAACTCAAAGCATATTGAAATCTTGCTATTCTAATATAATTGAGTCTTTATCTTGTTTTAAAATATGTCTAAACATAAAGAATATATTATAATCTTGCTTATACCAGAAATTATTAATCAAAATTTGCATCATAAATTATTTTCTTGATATTGATAACTTTCTTAAGAAAAAGAAATTGTTTATAATACAGAGATTATATATTTAATTAGAATAAATATGAAAACTTTTACTATTATTAATGAATGTGATTTTATTATAATAGTAGAAAAAATAATATTATTCAGTCAGAATATAAGTATAATTATAATGAAATTATTAATAATATTTATATTTTCTTAATTAATATTATTACTTCAATTTATCAAAAGTTTTTTCTCTCAAAAATTAAATATTAGATTTATTAGTTATGAAATTTGATCAACCTATGATTTTTAATTAATTATTAGAAAATATTAATTTTTATTCTTTTGCTTGTTCTCTTGATAATTTATAAATTTTTATATATAATATTAATATAAATTTCAAATTATTTTTTTTTATTATATTAAGAAAAAGCAATAAGCATTATATATCTAAGAAATCAAAAAAAAATATCTGTAAAATAATAATAATTTCTATTTTATCTTCTTGAATTTTTCAAGTTAATTATTCTATAATTATTTGAAAAAAAAAGAAATATTAGAAAATTATAATATAAAAGTATTATTTAAAATTAATTATAATCTAACTTAAATATTAGTACATAATTTATAGATTTCTTCATATATATTATCTAATTGAAATAATAAGTTTATATTGTAAAAAATTTATTAATATCATTTAAAAAAGAAAATAAAAGCTAACATTAATTGATATAACTTATTGTAAAGATGACAAGATTAAAAAAATCATATTATTAAACTTATTAGTTATCTTCAAGATATATATTTATTTAATTATATAATAAGTAAATATAAACTAATAGCATAAAAATATATATTTTATCATATCAATTACTTTATTTTTAATTAAAAATCTAAGATAAGAATAAAATTATTATAATAAATATAATTTCAAATTATTATTTATATTTCATAGTTTTCAAGCTTGAATTTTAAATAAATTTAATATTATTAGAATAAAATAAAGAAATATTAATCAATTTATATTAACTTAAATTATTGTAATTATATTAAAATATTTTAAATTATGATTTAAGTAAAAATTTTTGAAATATATTTTCAAATATTTTAAAAGTTAATTTAATAGAATATAATGAAAAATAATTAAATATTATTGATTATTTTACATATGAAAAACTAAAAAATAAAATAAAAATATATAATTATAATATTTATAATATTTATTAATTATAAAAAAAGTAATATATATAATATAATTATTAATTAGTTATATTAATTGATTAATATTCTAGTAAATTAATTATCAAAAAATAAAATATTATTATTATAATTTTAGATATTTAATAATATAATAATAATAGTATATATCTATAAAAGAAAAAATAATTCAGATTATAAAAATCATGAAAAATCAATATTATCATAGTAATATAAATTTCTTTAATTTCATAATTTTTCAAACTTGAAAAATTTGATCAATTAATTGATCTTTAGAAGATATGTGATTTTAAATAATATAATTAATGTATTAATTATGAATTCAATCATGATTTAATAATATTTTTGCAATATTTTTGCAACATTTTTATAATACTTCAAGATCATCAATGAATAATTAACTCCAAAATCAATAATAGTTTACAAATAGTTTAATAATGGTTTATAAATATTTTAGAAATGGTTCAACAATGAATTTTATTTATTTTTATTATTATCTTTTTCTTTTTAGAATATCTATCTTATCTTTTTATTTTATTTCATTATTTGTATTATCTTATAACTTATTACATGTATCTTATTTCTTATTTTTACTTGTTTATTTATTAATTTTTTATTCCAAAGATTGTAATTATAATTTAGAGTAGCAAACAAGTTTAGATAAAAACTTATAAAATCTCAAAAATATATAAATATCTCTGTTCTGAAACTTGAAATAAATGTACTTGAATAGTAATAATTCAATTATCTTTTGAAAATACTTGAGTTATACTTATTTTATAATTTTTCT